GTTAATATAATTTTTAAATAATATATATTGCTCATTTAGTCACTTTATTTCAGTAATTATAAAATTTCAGAATTTATTCATAATTTAATACATAATTTCATGTAACTTTTAAATAATATATATTTCTCACTCAATTACAATTATATAGTATACATAAAATTATGAGAGTTGATCAAATTTTTAGTACTATATTTTAGCATATATTTACATAATTTTTCAATAATATATGTTGCTTAATTCTAATAAAAATTTAAATTTTAAAATTTATTTTAATACTTTTTTAAAAGAAAAATCTTAAAAATAAAAACAATTTAAACAAATAAAATATCAAAGGACAAACCGATCAATTTTAATTGAAGAAGAGTGCACGAAAGTAGGTGGACCCAACTTTGTGATAGGCGATGATGCTCGTAGAAGGAAACTTAGAGCCTTTTTAAATGGACTTAAAAGTTATCAAATTGATTTAAAAATTAATTTCTTATTTATTAGAGTGTTTAACAAATATCAAATTAACTTATTTAAATAAAAAATAAGTTATTTTAATCTAAAAGCTAAGTGGGAATATTTCTTTTTCAACTTAAAAGTCATCTTATGTTGATGGTGTATATTATTTTTTTATCTTTAATTCTTTTATTATTATTATTATTTTTATTTTATTTTATTTTATTATTATTATTATTATTATTATATTATTATTATTATTATTATTTATTTTATTATTCTTTATTATTATTATCATCTATTATTATTGTTATTTTTTTATTATTTATTTTATCATTCTTTATTATTATTATTATATATTATATATCATTATATTATTATTATTATTATTTTCATATTATTTTATTATTATTTTTATTATTATTATATATTATTTATTTATTATTATTGTTATTATTATCATAATTTTTATTATTATTATTTTCATATTGTTATATTATCATTGTTATTATTATTATTTATTATTGTTATTTATATTTAATTATTATTATTATTTATTTTATTATTATATATTATTATTATTAATATTTTTTTATTTTATTATTCTTTATTATTATTATATATTATTATTATTATTATATATTTTCATATTATTTTATTATTATTAATATTTTTTTCATATTATTTTATTATTATTATATATTATTATTATTATTAAATTAATCAACTTTATTATGTTAACAACTTTAAAGGTATTTCAGACATTTTGATTAAAAAAAGTATTTACCAACACTTATTTGTCAAACACATCAGCGACTCTTTTTTAACTTTAGCACTTTTATCTAAATACATATCTATTTTTTTTAAATAAATTCCAACACTTTCAAAAATACTTTTTAAAAATTACTTTTTGTAAATCTATCTCGGCTCTTAGTTCCTCTCTTTATAAATCAGGAAACTTCACCTTTAGCTCCTCCGTATTTCCTCTTCTAAGTAGTAAAACTTAAAATAGATTCATTTACAATTTCAAGTGTATGATTTACTGATTCTTGAAAAAGATAAAATCTCTTTAATGAGTAAATTAGTTTTGAAATTTAATCAATTAATCATGGTAAAATAATAATATAACTTATTATCTTCTTAATAGTTATACTAAGTCAAAATTTTAAGGCATGTACTAGTTTAGAACTTTCTAATCGTGATTCGTAACAAATATTATAACTTTCAGCTTGGGTTATTACAGTCAGAGGATCCAGTATTCAGTTTTGAAAAATAGTAATGTCCTTATCATCCTAATTGCTGCTACAAATATTAATTTCTAAATAGCAGCTAATTAAACATTATTTCATTAATTAATATAGAAACACTTGAATGCTCTGTTGTTGCACGGAACACTAGTGTCTCGTTTTTAATAATAATAGGTTATAAGTTATTATTTTTTAATAAATAGTGAATACTATTTGTAGAATAAGTAAATTTTATATGAAAATAAAGGAATTATTAGAAGAAATTTGACATATTTAGAGTATTATATCTCATGAAAAATAATTTTAAATAAGAATAATTATATTATCAATTGCAAACTAGAAGAAAATTAATTATATAAAAGTTTTTAACGATTCAAATTTACGACCCCGTTTGATTTTTACTTTAGACCTCTAATATATTTGAACCACTCCTGACTAGTGTCAGCGATTAACAACACCTCTAGTTTGGGTTTTTCTATATGACCAAGTGATGCTTCCATTGGATGAAGGAAGTATTATCCTATAGTTTACGTTATTCTTTTTTTACAAAAAAGAAGCTTCGTTTGAAGGTTCTATTTTATACAATCCAATTCTGTTATTTTGTTTTCCTTTATTCTGGAGTGAAGCCTTGCAATGAATCATTTGAATTCTTATTGTAGAATTTGTCGCTTCTCTTTTCTCACGTGAATGTATAGGTAAAGAATTTTAAGAGTCAATCAAATATTTAATTTTTAAAATCAAATAATATATATTTACTTATTTTATCTTATTTTATGTGATACAGATGGATCTTTAAGAATCAATTAATTTTTTTTTATAAACAATCATTTTAATGTATTTTTTTAAAAAAATATTTTAAATTATCAATCATCATAATTTATAACATTTTTTACATAATCTTTTAAATATATAAAAAATTTAAATATAAAACAAATGAATTAAGACGAAAGAAAAAAAAATTGAATATAGAAAAGTGTCAGCAAAACATGTCGAGCATGACCGGTCTAATTATCCCACTTGTATATTATTAGTAGGGGTTAAGAGGGGATTTCATTTTCTTAATTCTTATAAGTATAGGTATATTTTTATATATATCTTATCTTAAAGAAAAAAATGAGAGAATCTTAAATTCAAAGAGATTGTTTTGGAATTTGTTAAATTTGTAGGCAAATTGAATTTCGTGATGTCTTTGAATGGTAGTTGCCTATTGTTTTTTCTTTTCATTAATGGCCATGTGGGGTTGAGAAAAAGTCCTAATAAATTAATTTTCATCAATTATAATAATGAGTACAATACATTATTAATAACTTCAAATATTTGATTGAAAAATTAGTTAACTTTTGGAATATTACTTATGCCAATTAAAATCAAGAAAGATAGTTAATATTAATTATTTGGAATAAAAGTAAAATGCATTATAAATGATAAAATTTACAATTTAAAATGTTAAAACTTTATTTGAGTCTCAAATTTTTATATGTATCACATAAATAAAGACGGACATATTACGTCAAAAATATTATAAATTACAATACTCAATAATTTAAAATATTTTAAAATCAGAAAGAGATTTGGTTAACCCTCTTAATTTTATAGATGTCATGCTATAGTGTCTAATCTAATATAATACTAGGTTTAAGTTATCGACGACTACTTAAAGTTGAAGACATATTTTATTTGGACATATCAACTGAATCTTGTACTTAGGGTGTTAAGAATGAATCCAAACATAGGTAATCCGTCGAGAATTTTAATGGTTGGACTCAAAATAATTTGAATTTGCTACAATCTCAACTCATTCAAGCCTAAAGCCTAAATCATTTTAAGAGAGTCCTCGATTGAGCTCAATATAATCTCCAATTTTAACCAATTTTAAAACTTTTTGCTAAGATATGTTCATATATTAAATGTATGAATTATTATCTAATTAACATTTTAGGATTTATCTATCCATTCGTTATTTTTCAAAAAAAAAATCTTGAGCGAAAATTTGAATTGTGATTATAAGATATCAATATGTTAAAATTATTAAAATCAATCGGATCAAATAGGTGGATCAAGACCCAATCCGTTTTAAGCCCATTTGAGCACAAAATAAACTTGGGCGATCGATTTATTCATTTTAATATCTCTAATTTCAACTTAACCTGCCCATTTGACACCCCTGTTCGAACCTATAGAACACTTTATTTGTTTATGAATCATTCTTCTTAGACACAAAATGTTAGTATAATTAATAAAAGAGTATTCCGTACTCTTTGAGTACGTATAGCAATTAAAATTAAGTTCTTTATTTTTTTTATTTTCCAGCTTATACACTTCAAACAATATTAAAAAACAGAAGAATAAAAAATAAGAAATAAATTTTCTTCACTGAAGGTCTCTCTCTTTCTCTCATCCTTTATGATTCTTCTTTTGCTTTTTTTTTTTTTTTTTCAAAATTGCTATTATATAGATCTAAATCTCAAATATTCTAGCAAAATTTCATTTTTTTCTGATAAAAATAATATAACTTGGTTATTTTCTTAGGCAAAAAGTGTCGTTTTTATATATAATTATGATGATAAATGATTATTAGCGGATAGAAAATAAAGGCATAATGGGTGAAAATCTTTGAAAGGGTAGCAGATTTTGACGAAGAAGAAGGGGCAGGGGGGTTGTTGATTGAAAATAATTTTTTTCTTTTAAATTCTTTTTTAATTGTCACGTGTTATTATTTTATTAGTCTATCTTGTTAAGTATTTGTCTTTGAGACGCGCACATTTGTATTTGAATATATTTTTATTTTGTGTTTAATAAATATAAATTTGTTAAAATTAAAGTATTCAATCGATACAAGCCAAGTTAAGGTGTATAACTGAAATATGCGAATAATTTTAAAGGGTAACATATGACTTAAGCCATAATACTAGACAAAAAGAGATATAGATGAGATTAATTATAATGAGATAGATTATGATGAGATTAATTAGTTTGCGAGATTTTTTTTTACAAAGTGTTTGATTTGTTTTATTTAAAATAATATGTATTACATAAATTTTAAAAACGATTTATATGTTTAAAAAATCCATCACGAATGTGAAAATAGTCATGTATGAAAAGAGTTTAATGAGATACTTTTGTCTATTTATTGTATTCCAAGATAAGTTTGTAGATTTTGAAATTTTATAATACCCTACAAAACGTGTTCAATTTGAGTTGAGACTTTACAAGGTGTGTTCAATTTCAATTAGAATTCTCGGAGGCTACTCAACTCTAAACCTTAATTCATTACCTCTATATAAATGGTACATTTCTTTAAAAAGACATCTCAAAAATTTCATAAAGAAATCAAAATCTCAAAAATTTCATAAATAAATTGTGAATATCTCATATTTTACAAATTCATCGAATATTCATAAAGATATCAAATGCAAATCATATTAAATAGGTCACTAACGCCCATTGATTTATGAATATCAAGTCCAAATCATACTAATTTGAGAAATATGCAACTAATGGCCCTCGAAGTATGTAGATGAAGTCCAAATCATTCTAGTTTGAGAAATACACCAGTAACGACCTGCAAATTATGTAGATCAAGTCCAAATCATCCGCAAATTATGTAGATCAAGTCAAAATCATCCTAGGTCGAGAAATACGTTACAAACAACCTACGATTTATGGAGAAACATCATATGAGAAAAGAATTAAGGGATAAACGAAATTTCACCTGCAATCTTGATGAATAAAATTATGTTTCTTCCTATTTTTTTTGGTGATTTTAATTTATTTCTATCACTTTAAAATTTATTGCATACAAAGTCATCTCGAGGTCACTACACCATCCAAGTAAAAGAATAACTTATTTTGATATTAATTATTAATCTCGAAATAAGTTATCTCAAATTAACAATATTCCCTCCGTTTCAAAAAAGATAGCCTAGTTTGACTTGGAACGTTAAGAAAAAAAAAGAATTTTTAATCTTGCGATTCTAAATTAAAATTATGTCAAATGTAGAAACCGAGGAAATATTATTTAATCATAGGACTATTTGGTGTCACCTCATGACCCCTGATAGGAGTTACATATATTGATACATGCCTTTTTTCTTTGCATTTGATAAAATGCAGGTGCTTCTACCCCATAATTATTTTGTGTCTGTAGAACCAAACAAAAATTTTAATCATTTTGATCCTCAATTCCTAATCTCCAGTAAGTGAAGGAAGAGATGGCAGAGTATGTTCCTTTATCTCAAATGGAGGATTCAGAGAAGCAAAATTCTTCAATTAAAAGTAGAAAAAAGGGTGGATTAATTACCATTCCTTTTATTATAGGTATATACTGAACTATTTCAAATATTTCTTGTTTTGTGTTGTAATTAAGTTTTAAGTTTTATTTTTGAATTGTTACAGCAAATGAAGCACTGGAGAGTGTGGCGAGCTATGGGCTTTTACCAAATATGACATTTTATCTGATGAGAGATTACAGGATGGACATTACTACAACTCAAAATCTTCTGTTTTTCTGGTCAGCTGCTACTAATTTTTTGCCTATTGTTGGAGCTGTTGTTGCTGATTCCTATTTAGGTCGATTCCTTACTATTGGCCTTGGTTCCATCTTCAGTTTCATGGTAATTCACTTATACCTTCTTATTTCATCTTATAAATTAAAAATTAACATTTATTTTTTGAGATTATCTCTATATTTTTGCATAAAAATAAATTGATGAAAGTTTTTTGATTTTTTCTTCCTATCATCTAAGCTATCTGAATGACGTAATACTCACTTTTAACTTTTAATGTAACTCAATTCGAAAAAGAGACTCGTAACATCACTAAAAAAAATGTTAAAACTCGACTAACTTTGTGGGGATGTCAACGATTCTTTAAAACAAAACTTACAAAATTTTGTCGGATATTTTTCATACACAAAATACAGAAATAAAATGTTCGTGAAAATTACTAAATTACAAATTACAATTGAAACTAAAATAAAGAAATAAAAATCTTTCTAGCTAAGGCACAAAATTACAAGGTATAATAAATAAATGAAGAATCAGAATAAAGAACGAATGAAGGAGAAGTAATGGTCACCAATGGGAATAAGAAACTACCGCCCTACGTTACAAGTTACAACTAGGGGTGTCAAATGGGCGGATTGATTTGAAATTAGAAATATTAAAATGAGTTGAATAGAAATCGGGTTGGGTCTTGACCAACCCAAGTTTACTTTTGATTCAAATGGGTTGGACTCAAATGGGCTAAAAAATAGATTGGGTATTGACCCACCCAATTTGACCCGATTAATTTCAATAACTTAACATATTGTCGCTCAAGAATTTTTTGATGAAAAGTAACAAATTGATAGATAAATCCTAAAAGATGTTTAATAAATAATAATTCATATCTTTAATATAGATACATATCTTCATAACAAGTTTTAAACAAATTGAAATTGAAAATTGAATTGGCTCAATTGACAATTCTCTTCAAATTGATTAAGCTTGAATGTGTTGAGATTGAACCCAATCAAATTATCTTGAATCCACCCTTTAAATTCTGAATAAATTAAACAGGTTACTTATATTTGAATTCATTTTTGACAACCCTACTTACAACAATAAATGAGGGCTAACTCACGATCAATAGCCCACTAACGGTTAAAAAGAATAGCAACCAAGAAGAATGGAAATACGGCATCTTTGTACTCCATTATAAGCAAATTAATATATAAAATACTAATATTAAAATGAAAAATCAACAATCTCCCACTGATTTTAATATTAATTAAGATAGTTTATCAGTTGTAGAAATATTACGCATAATAAAGGTGTGCTTTTTATACTCTTCCGATATTATTAAGTTTTTAAAAATAAACTCAAATTTTATTAGAAACGATCTATTCTCATACTTACATAAATAAAATTTATCGAAAAAGCTTATGTAACTTTAACACTCCATCCAAATGAGCTACAAATTTTCATTAACAGTTTTATAAGTATTTTTATGGGATTTAATATTATGGAACCGCTTGTCTACTTTAAATATGCGTTAGTTTTGTCCTTTATGATGACAATCTTTATTGATCTTTTTTTTACTTCATTAGAAGTGTTCTTTTTAAGAACTTTTCTAATTGAATTATAATATATTTCTGAAGAAAATGCTAATTTCATTTTATAATCCACCTGTTTTAACTTGTTCAATTTTAATTTTTTACTTTTTATTTTTGATAAGTCAAAAAAAAATATTCTTTTTTCTATTATATTCACAATTTATTTAGAGAGTTAATATTTTTAGAAAGATTAAAACCTTTTCAATGAGTAAATTAACTTTGAAATTCGATCAATTAATAAGGGTAAAATGATAAATTTATTATGTCAATTTTTTTTTTTAATAGATGTGTCAAGTTAAAATTGAACAAGCAAATAAACAGAGCGTATACTAATTTAGAATTTCGTAATCGTGATTTGTGACAAATATTATAATCATCAGCATGCGTTATTACTGTCAGAGGATCCAATGGTGGTTAAGTTATGAAAAATAGTACTGTCCTTATTACCCTAATTGCTGCTACAAATATTTATTTCTAAGATAACTAATTAAACCACCACTTTTTAAATTAGTAAAGGGAACATTTGAGCAATGATAAAGTTAGCTTTGTCTGAGTGATCTGTATGATTTATAGGTCAGTGTAAAATCAACCACGGAAGCTTGGCCGATGGTGGTAAATATTTGTTAGTAATTCCAGTGTGTTTTTGCAAGTGTTCACTAGGAAAATAGGTTCAGTTGGACGTGTTAACTATACAGTATATGTGACTATTCCCATAAGACGAGAGGAACTTACCTAATTTTAACACTTGAATGCCCTGTTGTTACAGGGAACTGTAGTGTTGTGGTTAACAGCAATGATTCCGAAAGCAAGACCTCCGCCTTGCAATCAATCAGGACAGGCTTGTAAATCTACAACGACATCACAATACATGCTCTTGGTTTTCTCATTTCTGCTCATGTCAATTGGTGCTGGAGGTATAAGATCGTCTTCTTTAGCATTTGGTGCTAACCAGTTAGACAAGGGAGATAATAATCCCAACAAGTATAAGATGATGGAGAGCTTCTTTACCTGGTATTATACTTTATGCGTAGCTTCTGTTTTGATTGCCCTGACGGGCATCGTTTACCTACAAGACAGACTGGGGTGGAAAGTAGGTTTTGGAGTTCCTGCCATCCTCATGTTCTTATCCGCTCTGTCTTTCTACCTTGCCTCTCCATTTTATATCAAGCCAAAGGTTCGCTCAAATGTGTTTGCCAGCTTTATACAAGTAATTGTCGTTGCCTGCAAGAATAGGAAACTACATTACCCCAATCAGAACTCTGATTATCATCACAAGAATGGTTCAGGACCTCAAGTGCCAACGGAGAAATTGAGATTCTTAAACAAAGCTTGCATCATTAAAAGACCTGAAGATGTTAAGCCAAATGGAGTTGCAGCCAATCCATGGAACCTTTGCACAGTGGAGCAAGTTGAGGAGCTAAAAGCCCTCATTAGAGTCTTGCCATTGTGGTCAACGGGGATCATGATATCAATAAACATGAGCCAAAGTTCATTCCCTTTATTACAAGCTCAATCCATGGATAGACATCTAACTAAAGGGTTCGAAATTCCAGCAGGATCATTTGGGATGTTTATGATGATTGCGTTAACAATTTGGGTTTTTCTCTATGACCGAGTGATGCTTCCATTGGCATCAAAGATCAAAGGAAGACCAGTTCGTCTAAAACCTATAGTCAGAATGGGAATTGGCATATTTGTCTCTTGCATGTCCATGGTAGTCTCTGGTATTATTGAACATGTTCGACGAAGAAAAGCAATCTATCAAGGGCTGTTGAGCAACTCGCAGGGTTTGGTGGAGATGTCAGCATTGTGGCTCATAATACCAAGCTGTTTAAATGGGATAGCAGAGGCATTCAGCTCGATCGGCTCCACAGAGTTCTATTATTCGGAGTTACCAAGGAGTATGTCAAGTATTGCATCAGCTCTTTTAGGATTGGGAATGGCAGTGGCAAGTCTTTTAGCAAGTGTGATTTTGAGTGCTGTGGATAAGTACACCAAAGGAGAAGGGAAAGAAAGTTGGGTTTCAAGCAATATCAACAAGGGACACTATGAGTATTACTACTGGTTTCTTGCTCTATTGACAGCTTTCAATCTGATTTATTTTGTGGCTTGTTGCTGGCAATATGGAACCTCTGTTGAAGTTGACATCACTATCAAAATGATGGAGCTTAGTGATGATGATGACTGATTAGTTTTGCCAAATTCATTCTTTTGGGCCCCAAAAAATTCAGGATGATTTGACAAGTATGCTTATTACATTTATTTAATTAGTTTCTGGAAATGTGCGTTATCATTCACCTCAAAAAACTTGATAAAATGTTTGTATTGTAAATAATAAATTAGAATGTACATATATTATTCGACTTTCTTTGTACTATAAAGATTAAATCAAAACATATATAAGAGAAAGTAACAACTTTTAAGTTGAAGCTAAAATATGTCGCAAACTTGATGCTGCCTTACAGACATATATATATATGTATAAAGTGTTTATTTCATAAAATTAACTATTTTGCATGAAGTTAGTTAGTTCTTGCATAAATATTTTGTGTCAAATTAATTCACAAAACAAGGAGAAATACCTTATAAGGGACAAGCTTAGTGCAGGCTTCAATTCCTCAGCTTGTTTTCTTCTGAACTCAGCTAGAGTCAGGAAAAACAATTGCACACACCACTTCACCATAGTCTTTCTCAGGTAATCCTAACACACAACGTTCTGATATAGCTGGATATTGTGGAGAGTGTGTAGCATCCAAGGGAATCCTGGTCCAACAGAGTGCAGTTTGAGATATTCAGCAAACAGAACAGATTGTATTGTACACAAAGAATGCAGAATAGTTGTCATAGATGCAAATATCTAACAAACTCTATTAAGAGATTAATAGTGGGACAAGCAAAGAGGAAAAGAAATGCAACCTTTCACACAGTATTACGGAAATGTTGATTTTTTAATTAGAAATTTTAAGTTTAAATTTTGTGCGAATAGTATTTAAAGTTAGAAAGTCAGACTTCGATACAATATATACTATATGACAAAAAATCAAAAAAGAAAAATAAGAAGACATGGAAATATGGAAATATGTGATGATGTGGTCAATGGTATTAATTAGAATTTTATATAGAGAGAGATAAAATATTATATAAAAAGTGGGAAGACATAGAAATATGTGATGATGAGTCGTGCCTTTTTCTTGCATTTGCTAACCGGCAGCTGCATTCACTTCCCCATCATTATTTTGTTTCTGTAGATTCAGCGGTTGTCTGTTTTATCATCTTTTTTTCCATTTTGACTTAGCGTTTTTCATTGTTTTAACTTCCTTCATCCCCAATTCCTCTGATTAATAACCTCCAGTAAGTGAGGAGATGGAGCAAGAAATGGAGGAGTTTCTTCCTTTAAATCAAGGATCTAAAATGGAGGATTCAGAGAGGCAAACTTATTCACATTCTTCTCTGATTCCAATTAAAAGTAGAAACAAGGGTGGACTTATGACTATGCCTTTTATCATAGGTAATGGAGTATTTCAAATATTTTGGGGATTTTTTGTTTGTTTTATAATTAAGTTTTATTTTGAATCATTTCAGCAAATGAGGCACTGGAGAATGTGGCTAGCTATGGGCTTTTACCAAATATGACATTTTATCTGATGAGAGAATACAGGATGGACATTACTGCAACTCAAAATCTTCTATTTTTCTGGTCAGCTGCTACCAATTTTTTGCCTATTGTTGGAGCTGTTGTTGCTGATTCCTATTTAGGTCGGTTCCTCACTATTGGCCTTGGTTCCATCTTCAGTTTCATGGTAACTTACTTTTCACTTAAAACTAATCTGTTGCTAATTAGTGTTTTATAGTTTCCGATTTCATCTTTCTTCTCGTTCAGGTCGAGGTCACCAATTATTAAGTCTTTGTCAGCGTAATCTGTATGATCTATAGGTCATTGTAGAATCAACCACTAATGCTTGCGCGATGCTATAGGTTTGTTGTAATGTTAGTGTTTTTTTGCGAGTGCGCACCTGATATGTTCAGTTGGACCTGTTAGTTATACAGTATATTTTTCTATGCCCATAAGACAAGAGGATTGTAGTTAACTTACTGACTTTTAACACGTCAATGTCCTCTTGTTGCAGGGAACAGCAGTGTTGTGGTTAACAGCTATGATTCCGAGAGCAAGGCCTCCGCCTTGCAATCAATCAGGACAGGCTTGTAAATCTACAACGACATCACAATACATGCTCTTGGTTTTCTCGTTTCTGCTCATGTCAATTGGTGCAGGAGGTATAAGACCGTGTTCTTTAGCTTTTGGTGCTAACCAGTTTGACAAGGGAGATAATAATTCCAACAAGCGTACGGTGTTGGAGAGCTTCTTTGCCTGGTATTATACTTCATCCATAGTCTCTGTTCTGATTGCCCTGACAGGTATTGTTTACCTTCAAGACAGATTCGGGTGGAAAATAGGTTTTGGAGTTCCTGCAATCCTCATGTTCTTATCCGTGCTGTTTTTCTTCCTTGCTTCTCCGTTTTATATCAAGCCAAAGGTTCGCTCGAACGTCTTTGCCAGCTTTATACAAGTACTTGTCGTTGCCTGCAAGAATAGGAAACTCCGTTACCCCAATCAGAACTCTGATTACCATCACAAGAGTGGTTCAGGACCTCAAGCGCCATCGGATAAATTGAGATTCTTAAACAAAGCTTGCATCATTAAAAGCCCTGAAGATGTTAAGCTAAATGGAGGTGCAGCCAATCCATGGAACCTTTGCACAGTGGAGCAAGTTGAGGAGCTAAAATCCCTCGTTAGAGTCATGCCATTGTGGTCGACGGGGATCATGATATCAATAAACTTGAGCCAAAGTTCATTCCCTCTACTACAAGCTCAATCCATGAATAGGCATCTAAATAAAGGATTCCAAATTCCAGCTGGGTCATTTGGGATGTTTATGATGATTGCTTTAACAATTTGGGTTTTTTTCTATGACCGCATGATGCTTCCATTGGCATCGAAGATCAGAGGAAGACCAGTTCGTCTAAAACCAATAGTCAGAATGGGAATTGGCATATTCATCTCTTGCATGTCAATGGTAGTCTCTGGAATTGTTGAACATGTTCGACGAAGAAAAGCAATCAATCAAGGGCTCTTGAACAATTCACAGGGTTTGGTGGAGATGTCGGCATTGTGGCTCATAATACCAAACAGTTTAAACGGGATAGCAGAGGCATTCAGTGCGATCGGTTCCACAGAGTTCTATTATTCAGAGCTCCCAAAGAGTATGTCAAGTATTGCATCTGCTCTTTTAGGACTGGGAATGGCAGTGGCAAGTCTTTTAGCAAGTGTGATTTTGAGTGCTGTGGATAAGTACACCAAAGGAGAAGGAACAGAAAGTTGGGTTTCAAGCAATATCAACAAGGGACACTATGAGTATTACTACTGGCTTCTTGCTGTATTGACAGCTTTTAATCTGCTTTATTTTGTGGCTTGTTGCCGGCAATATGGACCTTCTGCTGACGTTGACATCACTAAGAGAATGATGGGGCTTAGTGATGATGATGATCATCTGCCATAGCGGAATGACTCAGGCAAACTTGGTGAAATGCACCAAAATAATGCTAGTTAAATTATAAATTGAGATACTAATATATACTTATGAAGCGATAAAGCTTATGAAAAAGATGTGTGGTCTTCACTTATTGATTTGATGCATGGTTTGAATGTGAGCAAGGTTTGGAACAACTCCCCTTCGCATAGCATTCCAAGGCCGCGAGTCCCACACAAACAGGCAAGTAGGTATCTGTAACATATAAGTTCAACGGCAAACATTAGTTTGGCAGACATCTTGGTACTCGAGTATTACATTTATCTTGCATAAGAACCAAATCACAAAACAATACTTTCTGTCCCAAGTTATAGTTAATCAATATCAACAGAATAAGCTCATAAATTCCTTATCCTTGGAATGGAAGCAGAAAGAAGTCATGGAAAAAAATTATTCTCATTAAGGAAGACTCAAATGTTTCCATAATCTCTTGTAAACAATGATATTGTATCGCAAATGATAGTCAGAATATTGATTGGTACTGAAAGAAATATCAATGAACATACCTAGCAGGTAGCCCTAACTCTTATAAGGACAACGAAATAGGAGAGTGTGTAGCATCCAAGGGAATCCTGGGCCAACAGAGTATGCTGTGTGAGAATGTCAGCAAACAATACAGATGGTACTCCAAGAATACAGAATATTTGTGTAGATGCAAATATCCATCAACCTCCATTAAGAGATTAATGAGAATAAGAACACAAATGGAAATTGTTTAATCTAATACAAAGAGCCTAATAAATTACACAATAGAATTTAAAAATGCATTGTATTTTCCTCATTGTTTCTGATTCATTCAACAGTCAGAATTAGTTATTCCATAAAGAATTACAAGTCTTTAACGCCCCCACCCCCAGCCTACATCAACAACTAAGCTTAAATGCTACAAAGTCAATGTCGGCTATATGAATCCTTAGACTATGGTGTTCCATTTAAAGCTCATGTTAGAGCAATATCATACAAAATAAAAATAGAAACAAAAAGGCGATATTCCCTTCTCCTAGCCCCACCTGAATAGAATAATAAGAAAATACAATATTATAAAGACAAAATTCAATCGCCAAGAGCAAAATCTTCGTTAAAAAGCTAAATGTAATACGAGATCGCTTGAATTCCACACAGCGAGTTAACAAAAATCAGATTGCAACCATTTCTCAATCTCAACAAAGACGAATCACGTACATGAAAAATTTAATAACTCCAGTTTGATTGGGCGATCGCATATAAAAGCACAGAGAATGAGCATTATTGAAATTGACAATGTTCGATGAAGAACAAATCAATATTCACTTACCGGAATAGAAAAGCCGAAAGGTAGGGTTTATAGAAGAAGAAAAATAATATGCATGGGAAAAGGGAGAGCGATTGAAGCGAAAGTGGTTGAGTAAATCTTCTGTTTGCCCTTCACCTCTCCAAATTCAATACCGCCGCCCGTCATGTGATTGGGAAAATTTTGCACAAGCCACCGATTGTTAAAGTAATGGTAAAGATATGATACCGGGCCTAACACAAGTTCAAAATCTAGACTGAAGCGTAATTTTTTTAAATATATATTTAAATAGTATAAATTTAAGGAATCTCAGTGTAATACAATAATTGCATTCTGTCCCGATAAATTTAGTATTTACTAATAATTCCTTAAAATTGTTGTGGCATGATACATTAGTATGTTGTGATACATGGTAAATGATACACCGTAACTTAAAACTGTTAAGATTAAAAAAGGGAAAAAACGGAACATTTAAATTTGTTATCTAAATCAACTTAAATTACGGTAACCGTTCATTAATAAGCATTAATTCAGCACGTAATTGGATAACAATTTCAAATTTTGAAAATTCAAGATTATATCATTTAGTTTGAAGACATTTTTATGAACATCTAGTTATTAAACTTATTGACTGATACATGATAACAATTTTCAAAAACTCGTGATATATAGAAAATCATATGATACACATCTAATTCATGTAT